AAGGTTCTCAGGCCCATCTAACTGCTAAAGTAGGAAGAGTAACATGGGTACCTGGAATCCTTCGAGGACGAGGAACTCCGTCTCCTCTCCTTCCCCCGCTGGTCTGAGCCGTCTACAGGAGAGAAAGGAAGAGGTTGTGGTGGGTCGTATTTGGTAATGAGTCTTAGATAAAACGTGGCCACCCAAACTAAACACTCTCCAAAATGGCAGATGTCATGACTGGACTGGTCCCTACGAGGTCATACGGACTGTTCTCATCATAGATAAACATCTATCATTGGCTAAAAGACCATAAAACCCACCAATACAGCGTGCAAAGAAACATCTGATGGTTACTGTACATCAGTCTCCATATTATACATGTGTATATCCATAGATCTTTATAGTAGAAGGGTCTCTAGAGCCACCATCCCTTCAGCAACAGGGTCTACCCAACCTATGCCAGTCTATCTTTCTACCCTGGAGGTACCCTAATATTATGTTCAAGTTCCAGGGAACCCCGGCTACAGATAATCATACAATCTTACAGATCACAGCTAGTGGGATCATCAAGGTGTACATAACATGTTGTAGACCGAAGTATGTGACACCCAGGACAGATCATTTGTAAACCCCATAGATTGGTGGTCAGCGAGGGTGGAAAGAATGACTCGTACAGGAAACATTGGCCCCAGGACTGTGCAAGCGTCATCATGCAGAAGATGAGAATACTCTACACCTCAAGGAGCCCCTAACAACTCCTAAAGGAACCCTACGGCTCCATGGAACCCATAATAACTCCTAGAGGAACCCTACAGCTCCAAGGAACCCCTAACAACTTCTAGAGGAACCCTACGGCTCCATGGAACCCCTAACAACTCCTAAAAGGAACCCTACAGCTCCAAGGTACCACCAACAACTCCTAGAGGAACACTACAGCTCCAAGGAACCCCTAACAACTCCTAGAGGAACCCTACAGCTCCAATGAACCCCTCACAACTCCTAGAGGAACCCTACAGCTCCAAGGAACCCCTAACAACTTCTAGAGGAACCCTACGGCTCCATGGAACCCCTAACATATTCTAGAGGAACCCTACGGCTCCAAGGAACCCCTAACAACTTCTAGAGGAACCCTACAGCTCCAAGGAACCCCTAACAACTTCTAGAGGAACCCTACAGCTCCAAGGAACCCCTAACAACTTCTAGAGGAACCCTACGGCTCCAAGGAACCCCTAACATATTCTAGAGGAACCCTACGGCTCCAAGGAACCCCTAACAACTTCTAGAGGAACCCTACAGCTCCAAGGAACCCCTAACAACTTCTAGAGGAACCCTACAGCTCCAAGGAACCCCTAACAACTCCTAGAGGAACCCTACGGCTCCAAGGAACCCCTAACATATTCTAGAGGAACCCTACGGCTCCAAGGAACCCCTAACAACTTCTAGAGAAACCCTACAGCTCCAAGGAACCCCTAACAACTCCTAGAGGAACCCTACGGCTCCATGGAACCCCTAACAACTCCTAAAGGAACCCTACAGCTCCAAGGAACCACCAACAACTCCTAGAGGAACCCTGGAGCTCCAAGGAACCCCTAACAACTTCTAGAGGAACCCTACGGCTCCATGGAACCCCTAACAACTCCTAAAGGAACCCTACAGCTCCAAGGTACCACCAACAACTCCTAGAGGAACCCTACAGCTCCAAGGAACCCCTCACAACTCCTAGAGGAACCCTACAGCTCCAATCAACCCCTCACAACTCCTAGAGGAACCCTACAGCTCCAAGGAACCCCTAACAACTCCAAGGAACCCCTAACATATTCTAGAGGAACCCTACGGCTCCAAGGAACCCCTAACAACTTCTAGAGGAACCCTACGGCTCCAAGGAACCCCTAACAACTTCTAGAGGAACCCTACAGCTCCAAGGAACCCCTAACAACTTCTAGAGAAACCCTACGGCTCCAAGGAACCCCTAACAACTCCTAAAGGAACCCTACGGCTCCAAGGAACCCATAACTTATTCTAGAGGAACCCTACTGTTCTAAAGAATCCCTAACAACTCCTAGAGGAACTCTACAGCTCCAAGGAACCCCTAACAACTCCTAGAGGAACTCTACAGCTCCAAGGAACCCCTCACAACTCCTAGAGGAACACTACAGCTCCAAGGAACCTCTAACAACTCCTAGAGGAACCCTACAGCTCCAATGAACCCCTCGCAACTCCTAAAAGGAACCCTACAGCTCCAATGAACCCCTAACATATTCTAGAGGAACCCTACGGCTCCAAGGAACCCCTAACAACTTCTAGAGGAACCCTACAGCTCAAAGGAACCCCTAACAACTTCTAGAGGAACCCTACAGCTCCAAGGAACCCCTAGCAACTTCTAGAGGAACCCTACGGCTCCAAGGAACCCCTAACATATTCTAGAGGAACCCTACGGCTCCAAGGAACCCCTAACAACTTCTAGAGGAACCCTACGGCTCCAAGGAACCCCTAACATATTCTAGAGGAACCCTACGGCTCCAAGGAACCCCTAACAACTTCTAGAGGAACCCTACAGCTCCAAGGAACCCCTAACATTCTAGAGGAACCCTACGGCTCTAAAGAATCCCTAACAACTCCTAGAGGAACCCTACGTGCTGCAACTACAAATCCCATTAGGCATTGCAAAAAAGGAAGAGCCGTCTCACCCAGCAGCTTCTTCCAGGACTTTATCAGAGATTTGGACAGAGTGATGACATCTTCATCATTGCTTTGTTTTCTCAGAGCATTCACCGACATACCAATCCGAGTGGACTGAAACAGAGCAATCAGTGCGGTCACTCAAGGTGTATTGCATGGATCCTATAGGTCAGTCATTCACAAATGTGACTCAGGCGTGAACCCCCATAACACCAAACGTCTCCTCCCACGTCCAATCAATACGCAAGGCTCAATTCATGACAGGATAAGGATCTTTAGTCACGTGACTGTCATGATAAAATCTCGGATGTGAAGGCAGCAGTCACTTGGGGGGAGATAAGGATCCTCATGCTGGTGCGTGTTGGCTTTGTGAATGGAGCCTAATATGAAGGTCCACTGGAGCAGACAGCCACCCCCACTCAATGTCCTGCTTGTATCCCACCAACATGGAGGGTGGGTGATCCCTCTACTACAGGCCCCCACGCTTGGGGTGACCCCGGCCCTACCTCCTGAACACCACGGTGGGTGGTCCCCTAAACCAGAGAACACAACGGCGTGCAAGTTCTGATCTCCTACCTGCAGCAAGTCCAGAGACATCATCATGTTCTTCAGCTGCTTGAGCAGATCCAACGCCCCATCCTGCAAGAGGAATACAGATCGGTGACAACACGGTAGAAGGTTGTACATAGACTCGTCATCCCAGGGGTGACCTCAGACATTCTATACTACATCTCATGGGCTGCTTATGCCTAGAACATCTTGAGAAGCCAACCATAGGCTGAGGACCTCTCAAGCTGCCCATATGTGTTATAATCTAGATGTATGTTCAGTTCAACATCCATGAAGTGATTGGGTCAGGTAGGTGCTCACGTATGACCAATCTAGGAGACATGTATGGCCAGCTCAGATGACCGCCAAGACTAGAAGCACAGCAGGTCATGGCCGTGGCTCCACACTGCATTTGCTTCTCAATGTCAATCAAGGGAACCTGGCTCTAGAGGTACCTCATTTTCTTCTGGAAGGGCAGCACATCCCCATGGAGTATGGGAGACAACATACCACAAGTCTGGTGCCACCGATCGGCCAACAGCAGCTCCACTCTGATTGGATCACGGAGGAACAAAGCCCCCAGGACAGTAGCCTATCCAGATACAGACATCGCCATTGGCTTAGAGCGGGCTGCGGCTGCCACTGAACTACAGGTCCCAGCATGCCGTGCAAGAAGCAGTCAGGGCTCGGCAGCAGTTCTCCACTTCCCTGCCGCATGAGCACAGTGCAGCCGGGACGTGTCGGGGTCTTCAGGGAATGCTGGCTCTTGTAGTTCCGCAAAGGGAATGACAATCATACAGATCTGCAGGAAATACACCCGGACACGCCCTACCTGCTGGCAGAGCGAGAGGAAGAACTACAAGTCCCAGCGCATCCTGCAAGATAGAACTGCTGCAGAGCATCGCCATATACCTTGCAGAGTATTGCAGCATCACAATATTCCCTGCAGAGCATGACAACAATATTCCCTGCAGAGTATTGCGACATCACAACGTCCCTTGCAGAGCATTGCAGCATATTTGACTGCACAGAATATACTATGCAGAGCATTGCACCCTCGCTACATCCTCTGCTGAACATTGCTTCCTCATCATGACATAAAACTTGGCGCTCCCGCCCAATCTTCTCTGCAGTTTATTGCACCCACACTGTGCCCTGCAGATCATTGCACCCTCACTGTGCCCTGCAGAACAATGTACCCATACTTGCCCTGCAGATCATTGCACCCTCACTGTGCCCCGCAGATCATTGCACCCTCACTGTGCCCTGCAAGAACACTGTACCCATACTTGCCCTGCAGATCATTGCACCCTCACTCTGCCCTGCAGAACATTGTAACCCCACTTTGCACTGCAGATCATTGCACCCTCACTCTGCCCTGCAGAACATTGTACCCCCACTTTGCACTGCAGATCATTGCACCCTGCTGGATCATTGCACCCTCACTGTGCCCCGCAGATCATTGCCCCCTCACTGTGCCCTGCAAGAACACTGCATCCATACTTGCCCTGCAGATCATTGCACCCTCACTGTGCCCTGAAGAACAATGTAGCCCCACTTTGCACTGCAGATCATTGCACCCTTTCTGTGCCCTGCAAGAACACTGCACCCATACTTGCCCTGCAGATCATTGCACCCATACTTGCCATGCAGATCATTGCACCAATACTTGCCATGCAGATCATTGCACCCTCACTGTGCCCTGCAGAACATTGCACCCGGTAACCTGCAAACGGCATGCTGATGCTTGCAGTCCTACAAGCCCTGCTCCCAGTGATATACCACATATGACGTCATGCATCCCTGCCCTCAGATAAACCACCTATATGACGTCACGTGCCCCTCCCTCCCCAGACAGACCCCTCTATGATGTCAGGGGCCCCTGTCACCAGCCCCTCTGCAGTCATATCGGGGGAACTCGCCATGCTCTTCTTGGAGACCATCTTATCCAGTTTTCTGGCGATACGCAGCACCTCCTCCACCTCCGGGGCCGCCATGTCTCCAAACCCGCCGGGCTGTCAGTACCGAGCCCTGATGCCCCTCACCGACCCGCCGGACCCCGCCTCCTCGGTTTTGTAGTCCTCCATCCTCTTGCTCTTTTCTCTCTTCTTATGGGAGCGCCGCTTGACGGGACTATAACTCCCAGTGTGCACTGGGCGCAGCCAGCACATTCCCGACGCGAGGGATACCGGGAGGTGAAGTCTCTACATGTGACCTGAGAACTACCGGGAGCGGAAAATGGACTACAATCCCAGCGTGCACCGCGGCCCCATTCACCGTTATAGAGCCTGAGACTTGGTGGGGGCCAGCGTCACTGCTGCCATGGCAACAGTGCAGAGCAATTCACCCATCTCATAATACACCTGTCATGCCACCCATACCAATATAAAGTGCAGAGCATTCCACCGCATCCCATAATATACCTGCATTCATGTCACCCATCCCAATATACATTGCAGAGCATTCCACCCCATCCCATAATATACCTGCATTCATGTCACCCATCCCAATATACATTGCAGAGCATTCCACCCCATCCCATAATATACCTGCATTCATGTCACCCATACCAATATGAAGTGCAGAGCATTCCACCCCATCCCATAATATACCTGCATGCATGACACCCATCCCAATATACACTGCAGAGCATTCCACCCCATCCCATAATATACCTGCATGCATGTCACCCATCCCAATATACACTGCAGAGCATTCCACCCCATCCCATAATATACCTGCATGGTAAGAATAATAATAATAAATGTCTCATTACATAAGAGGGTTTATTCTGATAATACAATGCGTTACACATGCAGAGCATTGCTCCACGTCATAATACAATGCGTTACACATGCAGAGCATTGCTCCACGTCATAATACAATGCGTTACACATGCAGAGCATTGCTCCACGTCATAATACAATGCGTTACACATGCAGAGCGTTGCTCCATCATAATACAATGCGTTACACATGCAGAGCGTTGCTCCGTCATAATACAATGCGTTACACATGCAGAGCATTGCTCCACGTCATAATACAATGCATTACACATGCAGAGCATTGCTCCACGTCATAATACAATGCATTACACATGCAGAGCATTGCTCCATGTCTTAATACAATGCATTACACATGCAGAGCAATTGCTCCATGTCATAATACAATGCGTTACACATGCAGAGCATTGCTCCATGTCATAATACAATGCGTTACACATGCAGAGCATTGCTCCGTCCTTTCAGGACCAATAACAATAGCACACAGAGGTGCAGCCATGTTGTATAAATTAATGCAAAGTGTTATTGTGGAACCCCAGGTGATTCAGCAGCCCTGTCCCCATTGGTAGGAGCCGGCAGCCGGCTGCTAAAGTAGACCTGTCATAAGAGAAATATCACCCCAAACAAGAGGAGGAGAGTCAGCCACCCCCATGAGCTGGTTGTGGTCAGAGACTCCTGTGAGGAGGATATTTATTTAGTGAAGTGGGTAAAGAATCCAGTGAGTCACAGAAGCTATTACTGTGTTCTGGCACCTACAAGCCGGAGCTGGAAGATGGATGGAATCCGGGTTCAGAGGAACAAGACAAAAGCACACTGGCCCTAAGATTTACTGCATGACACGCTGACACGTGGGGGTCCCAGAACAATGACACGCTGACACGTGGGGGTCCCAGAACAATGACACGCTGACACTCGGGGTCCCAGAACAATGACACACTGATACTCGGGGTCCCAGAACAATGACACACTGACACTTGGGGGTCCCAGAACAATGACACACTGACACTTGGGGGTCTCGGAACAATGACACACTGACACTTGGGGGTCTCGGAACAATGACACACTTTAAACAGACCATCTCTACCTGTGACAACGTATTTCCTGAAGTCAGTCTGCACATGTTTTCTATCTGCTGCCATCAGATTTCAGCCCCCCTATAGCAGGGACGTAATTACCCTTCATATCCTGCAGAGGGCGACATTCAGCTCACAAAGGCTGTGCAGAGAATGATGCTGGGCAGCAACCTGTAACTACCACTGAAAGACCAGCTCTGATAAGCGGTCACATGATCATTTTTAATGGGGTGCTCTGAGTTATTACATGATTGCACCTTATGCCAATATGCTTTATATTAATAACATGTCCAAGGCGAAGGGAACTTCCTGGGTTTTGCGTGCAGTCCTATGTGTCATATATAGAACGTTTTGCGGGCTGTGGCTTTAGATGCATTCTAAGATACGGAGAACAGCGGCCCCTAAGGGCCCATTCACAGCAGCGGGATGCCTTATGCCCGTTTTATTCTAAATGGCACCCCAATGCACCTTTCTTAACACAGCTACTCTGCAGCGCGCCGCACGGCCGTGTTGCTGCGTGCAATGCTGGAGAAAACGCTGCATGGCGAATTGTGATCCACTGTGGTGCGTCAGGCAGCTCATTCAACCTGAAAACACGCGTTATCGCCACACCTGAGTGGTGTGCAGGGGCCCGCACTCTGCTTCGTCCAGCACCACCACCGCCCTGCTGTATGGAAAGAACCCATGAATGTCTTGCAGCGCTCTGATACCACACTGCTGCGGCAGTCACGGGTACATCCCAGTTCAGAACGTTGTCCCTATGTATCTAGAACTGTTCTGGAACTGTACGGGTCGCCATACACGTCACAGTCTGGCCATACAATCTCTGTACAATGGCCTTTAGATAGAAGCGAGGCAAGATGGCTGCTCACCATTGGCTGAGTGGTTACAATTCCTGCCTTGCAGCACTGGGGGGGGGGGGGGGGGGCATGGAGGTTACATGTTCTCCCTGTGCTTGTGCGGGTTTAATATACACTGCAGAGACATGCTGGTGGGATAATTGGCCCTAGTGTGTGTGTATGCATGTGAGATAGGGAGCTTAGACAGTAAGCTCTTGAGGACAGGGACAGAATGAGCACTGTGAATTGTCAGTGCTATATATACCTGTAACAATCATTGTGCATGTGAGGCCCTTGTACTGCGTCGTTGTTGGTAGAGCTAAAGGAGATTGTGCAATCGAAATGTAACATGTGTGGCCTAGAAGCACTTTTCCGCTGTGGCGCGATGCAATAACACGTGCGTTATTGCAATGCATGTCACGTGCAGTGCTGTGCCTTTTGAAGGCAGCGCAGCTCCAGTGCACATGCGTTACAGCACCCCACAATGCACTGTAACACTCTGCTTTGGTGCACTGCTATAAATGGAGCACGTCTGGGGGGGGTTATTCTTGGGACGTGTTGGTGCATTGCCAGCCCGTTTCATTTGCAACGCACATTAACCTGTCCACAAAAAAAAACACCTCCCGTTAACACATGTGCGTTACTGCATAGCCTCAGGACGCCAAGGTCTAAATGGCGCCTTAGGGCAGACGCTTTTACGTCCTGCGCGCCAACGACGGATGTTTGTTTGTCTCTTCTCTGTTTGGACAAACGCAAAAGCGGGGACTGCGAAAAATGACCAACGGGGCCAAAGGGACAGACGCATGATCAGTTTGTGGAGTATAGTTTTTAGCGCGGCGGAGTGCAGCCACGCGGAGGAAGAGTTAAACGCAGGGAGGGGGGGGG